TATCATATTAGAAGTCTAACTTGGTGTTTTTCTGCACTAGTTCTCTGTCTCTATCTGATTCCTAAGAGGTGAATTGGGTAGATTGACAATATAAATATTTTATTTAAACAAATATAAAATTAAGATATTTTAATATAGAATAATTAAATATAAAACACTTTTTGCTTATTTCTAAATATTGCTTAAAAATATTTGCAAAAAGTTTTATACTTTTATACTAATAAAGACCATTGCTTTTTTTTAAAAGTTTATTTTAATTTATTTTTTTTATTTATATTTTTTTTTAATCAAAAACTTATTTTTGATAATCAGGAAAAGTTAAAAAATACCTTTTATAACTATGGAAAAAATGTTTTAAAAAGAAAAAAAACTGATAATAAAGTACTAAACTTATTTTTATAGTAAAAATATACTGTATATAGAAGATATTTATAATATATAAATATTTAAATATTAAGTTAAATATTAAAATTTTTCCTATTTATAATTATTATTCTCTTATAGTTGTTTATTTTTTAGATTTTTCAAAGAATTTTATTTATCTCAGTTTGACTTTAAATTTTAAACTGATATAAATTTTATTAAAAGTAATTAATTAGCTCATAACATATTAATAATAGAATATAAATAAGTCTTTATTGATTATATTATATGGTTCAATAATATTATTAATAAAAAAGAAAAATTATTAGTATAAAAATTATTTTCTTTATATGATGTATTATTAAAACAAAAAAATTATATAATTATTCAGATAAGCATTAAACTTTTTAGATAGTAAAAAAATAATAATTTATTTAAACTAATATTTATAACTTTTTATTATATTTTAGTTAGATAAAGTACCAAAAAAATTTATTTTTTTTTTAATTAAGAATATGTATAAAAAGCAAGGAATTGTAACTTACTTTTTCCTTACAAAAAAGTTAAATAAAATATTAGATCAAAATAGATAATAGTATTTAAAATAGTTACAAAAAATAATCAAAAAATATCTAAAAGAATTGGTTTTAATAAGAATATATTTTTTGTTTAGATTTTTTAAAAGTTTTAAAGTTTTTATTACTTTTATTTATTTTTTTTTATAAGTATATCTGTGATTATAGTATTTTAAATAAAAAATATTTGATTAATTATAGTCGTTCTGAAAACAGTTTTTTAGTGTATGTTAAATATTTTTAATTTGATGTATTGTAACAAAGATATATATAATTATATCAGAATTATTTTTTATACAATATTTATATTTAGCTATTTCAGTTTTTTGATTATTTAAAAGCTAAAGATTTTAATATTTTGCAGTTTAAGCTTAAGGTTTTGCTACTTAAACTATTAATATATAGGCTATGAATATTATAAATTTTTTAATAATTGAACCTTAGTTTTAAAAAATTATTTCAAAAAATATTAAATAAGTTTAATTATTATAAAAAAACTATTAATAATTTCTATTAAAGTATTATTAAAGCTTGTTGCTGAATATTATAGCAATTGATTTTTTTTGTATTTTATTGATAAAATTCTATATATTTGATAAAATTAAAATATTTTAATATTTTAATATTTTATTGCATGCTAAACTAAAGTCAGTAATTCCAAATTACTTGTTAGAAACCCAGTTATAAGAATTGAATAGGTATTAAGATTTTATAAGGAATGAGTATACTCGATGCACAAAATTTAATTCTATTTATGTTTAATATGAGATAACAATTTTAAATCAGTTATAATAATTTATATGCAATTCTGTTTTTATTGAAAGAACTGTAGATTTGATCAAAATATTATTTATTTATAATCAAAATTTTGCAATGATGCAAATAATTAGTTTTACAAATATTGTATGTCAAATGCTCGATAAATTATTTTAACATGCAAAGCAACAAGTTTTTGGAATGATTGTATTGAATAATCGAAAATTTTTAAAATCTATAATGAATTAATCTGTCGATATATGTTATATTTAATGAATTTTTCTACACTTAAATTTATATTTTGTATATAGTTTGTACTATATTTCAATCGAATTCAATCTTGGTTATCAACTATTTAAAAAAAAAAGCTTTTCATTTTAACACTATAAGTTTATTTCTATAAATAGATTGCCTTAAAGTATCTTCATACTATTGTATATTTATTATTAAATAATTTATTCTGATATTCTTTAATTCAATGAACAACTAGTTATACGTATACTATATTGACTATTTATGTTTCTTGTTTTTCATTTTCATTTTTGTAGCAATCCAAAATTAATACTCAGATCTCACTGAAAATAGTGTTTCATAAATAATTACGTCATATAATATATGGTATTGACGTCGAATATTCCGCAGAATGTATTCTACATATGGTATGAACAGAATTCCATATAACAGAGAAATACCACATTTCGACTATTCTTAGAAATATTCAATCCATTCCATGCGTAAAGTATATTGTATATACTGTACGTATGCTGTGTTTGTGTAGGTTATCTGACATTTTAAAAATGAGTTCCTCGAAAAAAATAAATTGCGAATGCATTGGTTCATCCCCGATCCGGAAGAATCACGTTATAATGTTTTTCTATCTTTAATGACGATTAATAAATCAATGGCATACAGCATAAAATTAGTTTCGTTTAAATAAAGCACTGAAACACAATAAGGGGCGTTTGCTTTTTTCATCAAAACAAAGGTAAGCGAAACATTCACGCAACTATCGGTGTACGATAGCCCATACCCCTGGGATGCTATGAAATTTAGTTGGATTCTAGAATGCAACTCTTCACATAAGTGATGTAGTAATCTAGCTGCAGTCCGCTTTCGACGTTTTCTCATCGATCTTGTGTGTCATCTTTCTATAACATTGCGTAATTTAGGTCCCTGGCCACTGGAGTTACTGTATATCAATGCATGCCCACATAAAAAAGACTTTGTCTTGGTAAATGTGCAAAATTCGATCGGAAATAAGAGATGGAAAAAATTTTTTATCAGCGATCTGTCAAACTATTACAAGTTATGTACTGCTCAAGTGAGTAGTCATTATCTAATTGAGTTTTTTCTTTGACGAATGTAAAATGATACAATTTTGTCCAAATTAATTTACGCACGGAGATGACACGTGAAATTAAGGTTGGTGCAAATATGTATAAATATAACACCACAACAAGCACAAATAGATTAATATCGGGAATATTCATGTACATGTTTGTGTGAGTTAATAAGTTTTCTCGCTCTTATTAAACAAATGATTCGTTCGCTCTCCGTAGTGACAATTTAAACTTTTCCGTACGCCGTGACATCTATGAAAACTCAAATTTCAAAAACTGTGGACAGCGTAGGGGCCGTAGAAATGGAACATAGAATTTCTGACTCTGCATCGGACTATAAGGATTCTCAGATGGGGAATGAATATGATGCGACCACGAATCGCGAAAAAGTTCTTGGAACATTAAGTGGCATGTCCATGAACATAAATAATATGATAGGGAGCGGTAGGCATTTCATAATTCTAAAAGACGTGATTCGGATTAAACTATAAAATGATCTTTGCTTTTTTTAATACTGTATAAAAATAGCGATATTTTCTGCTACTGGAGATATCTGGTTTTTAACCGGAAGTGGAGGAATGACTTTATTACTATATGTAATTGGGTTTGTTTACTCCTTGGTGGGAAGTTTCATTTATGTTGAGGTAAATATTTGAAAACTTCAAATGGTTTCGTTTTCAAAAAAAAACATCCATTTGCCAACACAAGCACATTTTCATATTAGTTGGATAGTAGCATACCAGAATCAGGTAAAAAGAAAAAGAAATCCTTTTTTTTTTTTTTTTTTGAAGAAATTTTTAAATAAAGTTTTACCTACTCTAATTTAATTATCAAAACAGGCGGGGAGCAACGTTACTTAGAACGGTCGTTTCCCAAACCTCGACTGATCATCGGATATTTATTCAGTTTCAGTATGATCACGTGAGTGTAACGTCCTACATTTACAGTACGCACCTCTACGATACGTACACTTCATTCATACTGATTCGTATCCTTTTTTAAAATTCAGTTTGATTCGTCCCGGTTATATCGCAAGTGACGTTATCGTTGCCTCCGAATACATTCTCTACGCAGCGAATCGAAATTTCTACGTAGAATACACAGAAGATGCGCCTATGTTACACCCCTTACATTATGCTGATAGTCAACATTGGAACATTCGGATTCTTGCATTTGCCCTTCTGTCTATTGTAACAGGCTATCATTTATTCTCGAACTTTTTGGCGGTCAAAGTGAATGAAGTATTGGCCGTAATAAAAACCTTGACATTATTAGCTATCTCGATAATTGGGTTGACAAAAATAAATAAGTATCCGGACCGCTTGAAGTCGAATGTTCTTTTCTCCGACACGCGAGGATGGGATAATATAGGTAGTTTTAGCAGCGCAATGTTGAAGGTCCTGTTCGCCTACGAAGGGTGGAATAATCTGAATTGTAAATATCTCTGAACACTGTTACATATTTGTATGCACTTTTTGATTCTGAAATTACCAAAAATTTCTCATAGATACATTGGACGAGATGAAAGATCCGGAAAAACGGCTAAAGATTTCAAACCCCATCAGTGTTTTGGTGGTTGGAGTTCTGTGTAAATATTCATTTTTACGCGTAGATTAGTTCTTTGAATAATCTTTGGTTGTGAAATTCAGTGTGATCCCTCTCTTCCAGACATTCTTGCCGTTCTTTCAATAATAGTAGTTGTAGATCCTAGTGCTGGTCACGAAGATGCCTATAACCAAGTTATAAGCACACAATTAGGCAATGAAATTGGTCTAGGGGGTCTGGTCTCTGTGCTGATTGCGGTTTCCTCGATTGGTGCCGTTGGCTCAATGGTATGGAGTGGCTCAAGAATTGTTGCCGCCGCCGCTACCAAAGATTATATTCCTTTTTTCTCCCCAAAATTACGGGAGTTTCATGAAAAATTCAATACCCCATTTAATGCCTTGATCTTTCAATGGATTTATTGCTCTGTGATTGTTCTGTTCTTCCCCTCAAACAACCCTACTATGCACTCACAAACATGACCCAATATTCATCACTTATATTCTATGGTCTGAGCGCGCTTGGACTGTTGGTAAGTATTCTTTTATTGACTCGTAGCGCAAATAAACACGCACACCACAACAACAATAATAATTTCCGTTATGATTAATTTAAATTATTCCCTAATTAACTGATTTAACTTTATAAAGGTTTTAAGAAGAACCGAGAGAACTCTATCTCGTCCATTCAAGATCGATAGAACGCTCGTTTACATTTTCTTAATAATATCGATATTTATTTACGTTGGTGCATTTTTACCTCCACCACCACATATTCGCCATACCCTTAAATATTTGAATCCGATATATTTGCCATACTTGTTTTCATACATTCTCATATGTTTTGGAATCATGTGTTGGTTTATTTTTTATTACCGACCACTTATAAGATTCAAATCAAAATTAGAAGAAAAGACGATCATCCAGGAGATGATAATTTTTAGTGTAGAGCTCTTGTTAAAGAAATAAAAGAAATATAAGAAATAATGATTAAAAAATGGTCAATATTGAAACATTGTTTCTTAATTTCGAAACACTGCATCTGAAATTAATGAACAAGTAAACCTTCGTGATTTCGTAAATTTAGCTCTACGGGGAAAAGTTCATTCTCTTTATTTACTACGCAAAAAAATTTCAATAATTTTTGCTAATTTGAGTGATCTTATTACATTACGTATTTATTATTTTGACCACCAGAGTGTGCCGAGCTATCAACGCCAATAAACGTCGCAAAATAATAATAATAATAATAAATAAATAAAATAAATAATAAAAATAATAAAAATAAATAAATAATAAAAATAAATAATAAAAATAATAAAAATAAATAATAAAAATAATAAAAATAAATAAATAAATAAATAAATAATAATAATAATAATAATAATAATAATAACAATAGAAACAGTGGTATGCTTTTAAAAATGTACGAGCTCGAGATCGATGGCAAAGGGATACAAAGAGAATGCATGAATATCTGTCACGAGAAATGAATAGAGAAAATGCCCCCACGGCGGTTGTATCATCTCATTACGGTATATTTTTCCTTTAGACAATAGAAACCGCGCATGTTATAAATATCCTTTGTTTTATAAAATTTTTCATTCTCGTTTTACTGACATTATTCTAAAAGAAAGTTATTTATTTGATCGTGAAAATTTCGGAAAGACATTTTGCTTAATAATCAAGTTTTTTTTTTTTTTTTTAGAAATTGTTTTGTAAATACGAGAAAATCTATAAATGACAAAGAAAAGAATTTATCGAAGAATACTTATTTGGTATACTCGCAGTGTATTTAATCGATAAATTGTTAACAAAAGATCATTTTTGAGCGGAGAATACTATTGATCATCCAGAGTTTCGATCGAGAAAAGCTACTTATGTTGCATGTTAATAAATTTGTATCTTTGGTTCACGGTCAAAAAGATGAAGAGAAAGAAAGAATAAAATGCTGGATGATTATAATGAAATAAACATGGGCCAACATCACCTATTTGTATCGAAGGTGCTATCATGAGTTTTTTATATTAAAGCGCTGAGTTTTATTTTGAGATGTTGCCTTAGGATTTATATATATATCTGGAAGATTTAACGTCTTTTTACGGTAGTATTTATCCTTGAAACCGCGTGCTTGACGAAAAATAATACCCAACACTTAAGGAGGCGTGAAATATTTAATATGAATATTTTTAAGAAATTGGGTTTCTTGCTCACCCTGATCATAACATCCTCTGGAACTCTTATCAGCAGATATCAGTTAGATGGAATTTTCAATAATGACACGACCAATATTTATGACAGTAAGAATTTTTTGAATAGAGATGATGCGAGAGTCAGTGGTCACGAATCTTTCCCCGAGTATCAACTTAGAATTAAGCAACCGAATATTTGTGATGCAACGGTTAAGCAGGTATGTATATTCTTTTTCTGATCAAATTCGCCGAAATATTGGCTGTACTCGAGTAACAATTAAATTTCTAGTATTCCGGATATTTTAGCGTTAAGAAAAACAAGAATTTCTTCTTTTGGTTCTTTGAATCAAAAGGTAATCCCGGAACCGATCCAATAATTCTTTGGGTATGTCGATTTTATTTTTGAATTAATTACGCAAAGTAACATTACCCCCGGAAATAACGAAACAACCTTTAGCTTAACGGAGGACCCGGGTGTGTATTAAATACATTTTATTTATCTTATTAATACTTGATTAAATTATATACTGTATTGCGTACGATACGGTATTATACTTTGCATGCATAAAGATGTTCTTCGTTGGTCGGATTATACTTTGAGCTTGGGCCCTGCAGGGTTAACGAAGAAGGTACCGATACCACACCCAATCCATACTCGTGGCACACCAAGGCTAACATTATATTCTTGGACCAAGTAATTCTCAGTGATTTAGCATGCACAAATATCATGCGCGTAGTTTATGTCACGATGACGACAGTTTCTTGTTTTCAATAGCCCATAAACGTTGGTTACTCTTACGGCATTGGTGCAAGAGACACCATTTTGGCTGCCAAAGACGTACATATATTCTTGCAAATCTTTTTTAAAGAATTCCCACAATATTCCAAATTGGATTTCCACGTTGCGGGGGAATCGTAAGAATATTTATTTATGAATACAAGTGAATTAGGAGCAAAATATTAATTGCAAGAAACTATGATTGATCGATAATGTTTGATGATAGGTACGCTGGTTATTATATTCCAGCCATAGCTAAGGAGATCAGTGACAGCAATCAAAGGACACGAGCAACTAACAAACCGGATGGCCTTTTATATCTTAATTTAAATTCCATATTGATTGGAAATGGCCTAGTCAATCCGTTAGTGCAGTATAGATACTACCCAGATATGGCTTGCAACTCTTCGTATGGACAGGTGCTAGATGAAATCACATGCGATAATATGAGGGGGGCATATCCAGAATGCGCTCGTAGAATTGGAGAGTGTTATAATTCACTGAAGAAATCTACATGCAGTTCAGCCTCCTTATATTGCAACAGAAAAATGTATCAACCATACAGGGAATCCGGGAGGGATTTTTACGACGTTAGGAAGAAATGTGACACGAGCGCATTTTGCTACCCGGCTTTTGATGCTATCAATAAATATTCCAATCGCAAGGATGTTAAGTATATATTAGGAGTAAATCCCCAAGTCAATTATGATAAATGTAATAAGACGATTAACCATATGTTCCATAAAAATGGAGACCGGTATGTTTAAATTTTTCATTCTCGAGATTGATCCTGGGATAAAAAATTTTTTAGCAACCTTGACTTTTTATATTTTCTTCAGGGTACGTCCTTATTATAGATTAATTCCTCGACTATTGGATAATGGGATTCGCGTCTTAATATATGCAGGGGATGCAGACTTTATTTGTAATTGGATCGGTGAGTATGGTAACGGTCGGTGTTGTGATCTCAAATTTAAATTAATTGATATTCTAATGATTGTTATCAGGTAGTGAAGCATGGGTGAGAGAATTACCATGGAGCGGCAACTTGGGATTTCGTTACACCAACAATAAACCATGGACAATGCAAAAGGAACATGGCAAAGGTTTGGTGCAAGTTGGGACGGTTCGAACTTACAAAGGACTCACTTTCTTAAGAATCTTTGGTGCCGGACACATGGCCCCTCACGATCAACCCGTTCCTTGTTTGGAATTTTTTAGTAAATGGCTGTTAAAGGAGAAAATATAGCCTTTTGATAACCATTTTGAATTCGAAAGGAATTGCTGTATGTACTGTAATTATGAATGAGTAGTCTTTGTTGATCTAACCATTTTTATACAATACATAAATTATTCATAGATAGTTGGTCAACTATTAAGAGATAGGGAGGTGAAATAAAAATACTTTAGATTGAATTACTATTTAATTACATCCGATTATTCTGTCAATACTTTAATTGAATTGGTTTGCATCGCGAAAGTTTATATCATCCAATAGGGGCTAAAAAGTTGCAGCAGAAATGATTATATATATCATTACCATAATTTATAATAAAATATACTGCATTTTTGGGGAGGGCTTAACTGCGAGTGGTTTAGCACTCTTTACATTTGCATTAATGTCGTATATCAAAGCAGGTAGGAAAGGTATTGTGCAATCCGAAGTGAGATGGCAACACTGGTGCATCACTGTGGCGGGTTAGAATATTGCGGCTAGGCTAATGGGTTTATAATTAGAAAGTTATTTATTTATTTATTTTGAAAATTAGAAACGTTGTCTTCGTTGATCCATAAACTTTCATAGATATGTGATGACATTCATAAAAGGATTCGTAATTTATTTCATTAAAAAATAATAAATGATTCGAAATCCAGCACAGTGCAATCAGAGGTGTCTTCAACATCAAGGTATGAAGATTTTAGTTCACCATCGGAGATAACGAAAGGGTCGATAGCATATCGAGCTTTATTACTTTCAATAGATGTCGGTAGAAGAATTGGGAATTATAAAATTGATCTTTGATAGCTCATTTACGTAATTTAGGTGTTGTTCGGAACTGTTATCTAGTCGGTTTCTCAGTGAGTGGTTATATGAGAATAAGTCAAAATGGAATTTATAAAATAGTGATTTTAAAAAAAGCATAAATCACTATGAAAAATTCTGAACACAACGAGAACAATGTCAATTCAAATCATTGATCGTTCTAATTCAGTAAATTGATTGATATTTCAAAGTGACCATCCTTCGTCGATAAGTTACAACCTTACCATCTTATAATCTCCGGGTTTTATATTACACAAAACTGGTGCCTACAGCATGTGAAGGAGGAAGCAATAAGGGAAATTATGAATAAAATATTGCGACTTAAAATTAAAGATACTAACCCGATGAAAGTGTAAAGATGCTGACTCATTGCTAATATATAGAATGAAAACTACGGATTACCTGTCTGTTATATCAAGGTCGAGTAATAAAGGCTAGGCACGTAATAATATATGCACGTTAAAGTCAT